CTTGTTCAGGGAAACCAGGATGAATTGTTGGCTTCAAACCGACTTGATGGGGCTTTTTGTTTCCTTAAAGGCACTACAGCGGGGTAAGAGGGGCATTAACTAATGGCACCGGGTTACAGGCGGCCTGTAGGATCGTACAATCACTGCTACAAAGTGTTCTCTCACTTTATCTTATTCTTACGGCTTTAATAGCATCATTTGTCACTATTTCATTTTACTAGTACAAATTTAAAAGTCTGTTCAGGATTTATAATCAGGCGCGAGGGGAACACTGCAAGATGAGCGCGTGTCAACGGCTAGCAAGTTAGCTATCAAATTAGCATGCTCTACTTCGGGACAATCTGGGACATTAACGGCGCGACAGGTCGGGTTTATTCTGCCCTGCTGCTCGCTTTATTCTTAATCTACCGTTACTTTATCTATTCACCGTTAATTAATGCGTTATTACCGAAAAACGACCGGTTAAAAACTCACCACGAAACAACGCCGTATGGAAGTCTGACCACACGGTGAAAAGAGGGCGCTGGGAGGAAATGACGTATTATAAGTACCAAATTTCCAGGCTTGTGATTGGTCGGCTGGTGCGAAGGGGGCGGGCGTAGTTCTGCAAGCTGGCCACCAGGTGGGGTTACCTGCCATGTGCCGCAGTGATGGGAGCGGAGGTAACCAGAGGTCGGACGAGTCTCCCATATTAAGACAATAGAGATGGAAAGACCATATTAAGACAATGCTGAGACGCTGACTTCTCGGTGAAAGACTGACCTGTGTTGCAACTATATTTGCCAGCAGAGATAAAGAGTTCCAGGCAAAGGGGACACAATATGTACACAATGACACAGCGAGTTGAGAAATAATGTACATTAATTTTCATTTTAATGGTGTCTTTATGTGCAGAAAGTTTTACTGAACTCCTGACAGGACACGTTAATGGTGGGAAACTGAGCTGACACACGGCCAGATATGTAAGGTTTGCTGGTAATGATGTGTTGATTCAGAACTGTTTGGATGGATGTCAAGGACGTTAGAGGATCTTACAAATAAGGCTAAAAAAGAAGGAGTGGGGTGGTGTCACATGGTGGAATAACATGTTTTTTTTTCTGGGGAAAATCCAGGTTGTCTAAACATATTTGTTTTGACCATAAGAGCCTCATAATTGATTTATTATGCTCACTCAAAGTAAAGACACTGGTAGGTTTATACATATATATACACATATATATATATATACGTATTCAGCCTCTGAAACCATCGTCCATAATGCTGACACAAATTCACACACAGTGTCAAATCCCTGATTAACTGATTTAATAGTCAGCAGTAGTCATTGGACGTGACACAGATTGTCATCCAAAACTTGATATTATTCACATAATATAGAGATTTATGCATCTGATGAACTGCAGATACAATATTTGGAGACAAAATCGAATAAAAAGAGAAATTAGTATTGATTAAGTTTAGTTTTAGTTTAGTTTTCAGTAGCTGATCTGTGATGAATAATTAACTTTGTTTTCAGCAGATAGCACTCCAGAAATAGCTCAATGTCTTACTTTAGCCGGACTCCTTGTCCCTATTTTCCCTTTGATGTAATGTCACCACTCCCCCTCTGCTGCTTATCTCTGTCTCACAGTGCTATGATAAGTTTTTGGCCTGTATGTTCTGGTAGTCGCTGCAATATGCTGAGCAGAACGTCTTTCTAATCTCTTAGTCTGCAATCATTTTAGATTGGCAGAGTCAGTCATTGTCTTATATCCTGTGCAGTTAATGAGAGGAAAGTACAGAACATGCACATCAGGTACTTAACCTTGATTGTATTAGTAGACAGCTTTTATTTTTTTTTTAAGAAAGTGGTCATCCATTCTGGTATTTTGTCCTTTTTAGTAAAGGATTTAATTCTGTTATCAATGAATAAAGTAACCAAAAGTATCAGATTTATGTATCCAGCAGCCTGTTTCTGGTTCAGCACACAGCTGAAGTCTGGTTTGAAACAAGCTTAATATGAAGTCTGTTGTGTCATTGTGACCCCTGCCCAGTCTGGGACAAGAATTCAGTACGTCATGCGATTGAGCCGCCGTGTCTGTAACAGTTCAGAGGTCAGCCAGGCTTCAGGCACGACTGTGAGGCTGCTCACGTTTATTTCTGTTGAATCATACACACTGAGAATAATGGGTGCAGGGTTTTATTTTCTTAAACATCCTTTTTTTAAGAAAAAAAAAAAAAAAAAAAGGCAAGCTTTTGAATGAAAATACATCTCAAAGGAATATCAAAACAAAACAAAAATCATTACATTTTAAGGCAGAATAATGTGTTACATATTGTATTTGACAAACAATATCGGAATATAAATATCCATTGTGTTATTGGAGAGTCCTCTCCAGGTTTTACATTTGTGCTATGACAGACCTGCTGGGGGTTAAAGTGCATTATGGAGGTCTGAGCTGAATCTGGGACACTGTCTTGAGTAACGATATATTAGGTTACTGCAGTCTTTGTGAGATTACATAGATTTATTCCACAACTGGGAAAAACCAGAGGAATTCCCACTGAGGCGTTTGTAAAAACAAATACTCTTTAAAGGATTAGGATTTCTTTGTGAAATACAGAACATCATAGCATATCCATATTAATATTAAAAATACTTTCTCCAGAGTTACAAAACAAAATATCTTCCTGGTTCATGAACTTCAGCAAAGCACATTTCATGGAGCAAATCCTCCAAATCTCTCTTGTATTGTGCGTATTACTCTTATAGACAACAAGTGTTCTCTTTCTGCGCTCGCCAGTCTGCAGCTCTTGTTGCGCTTGAATCATTGAAGCCTTTGACTCTTATGAGCAAAACATCATCAGGCTCATCTGCACTGTAGCGGTTCCTTCCTGTTCACTTATTACCGTCTTCACTCTGTGACTTTATCTCTTCTTTCTTTTCTTTTTTTCCCCACAAGCTTCTCATCAACTCTTCCCTTCAGGACTTCAGTCCAACACGAGTCATCATCTGCTCATACACTGTCCACGCCATGGCGGCCATCATGGTCCTCCTCAGTGCCCGTGGAACTGCCCCTCTGAAGAACCCCTGGAGTCCATGTTCCTGAGAGAGAGAGAGAGACACGGTGGAAGCATATACGTCAGATACAATCATTAATAACGTCAGCAGCCAAAACATAATCTGGACTGGCCTGGAAATCATGGAGTAAGTAAAAGAGGGGTGAGATAATTACCATATAGATGTATCTGATTGCCTCGGCTGTCCGCAGCTGTGGATTCACTTGGACGTGTGTTTTAACCACATCAGCAGGCTGAGTGATCAGAGAGGCCAATATACCCGCCATGATCCCACAGCTGAAGTTAGCCAAGGGGGCGGAAGCAGACGAGCTGATTTCTTCAAGGAAAACAGAGAATAGGGATTTAATCCAAATGGAAGACCCACAGTTTCTGTCTCCTTTAATAGGTTATTTTTATTACTGAATGAGGTCTGGCTCTACACTTACCTTTTGGCAATAAGGCCTTGGACTGGCTGTAGAACATGACGTAGATACCAGAGAAAGGAACATCTCTGAGGAGAGTGGCCATCAGGCCAGAGAACAGAGCTGCAGGACCTTCAGTCTGACACACACTGCGCAGAGCCCCAGTCACACTCCCATAGCTGTACCTGCCACACTGAAACACAAAAACACACATTTAGTTTAGTTTAATACTCACACAACACACATACAGACACCACACATTGTACAACTCATTCTTATGGCAATCTAATGTTCTGTCTAGTAGTTTATAGTTATTAGTTATACTGATTTATATTGATTATTGAGTCTGACTCAAACAAACTAAAAGATGCCTTTCGTATGTCTGTGCATGCAGTTAAACATGAGATCATCTTATTTCATGGATATGAATGAGATTAGTTGCAGCTCTAGTAAATTATAATTTTATAATAACACAAAGTGATCATATCAGGATCTTATGGACATTCAGGAATTGAGCTAAACTTGGCAAAAATATTTCAATGAAAGGTAGTGGCATTATGCTGGTGTTTTTTTTTAAATTTTAGTTCATAATAAATATTTTCCTTTTCATCAACATAAAGTACATTAAAGCACGGTATGGAACCACTGGTTTAAGCTACAGTATTGGGGCATTCAGAGCAATCTATTACCCAACAGACTGACATCTCCTCCACACACAAATGTCTTCCAGTGCTTACTTCAAAGCGTGTCTTGATGACAGTGACCGGCAACATGAAGACCCCTGCCACCGTCCGGGCCCCGCCTCCCAGCAGCGCAGCCTGTATGGCCCGTGGGCTGCTGTCCTGGAAGAAGTGCTGCTTCAGAGAGTAGTAGGTGCTGAAGTAGATCCCCACTCCTGGGATGGTCCGAGCAAAGGACTGGAGGAGCAGATGGATGAGGGAGCAGAGTCAGAAAAGGACTTTCATGCACACAGAAGAGTTTCTATATGACGGCAGGGTGGATGAAAAAAAAGGTATAAAAGATGTTCTAACCGGTGAGATTCCTTTCCACAGTCCCAGCAACCTCTCTGTCCGCACCACGCTCAGGAGCACAGTCACCATCCCCACTCTGCCCGAGCTGAAAGAGGAACACTCAGATAAGCCGACAGAAAGGTAAATCATGAACACTGCTTTCATGTGCTGAGTGTGTGATACAAGGTTTAGCTGAGGTAAAACTTTCTATTGTGTTCATCCAGTCAATAGAGCGTTTTTTGGAGGTCACAGGGCAAGAAAGCATGTGATGCAATGCAAAGCTAGTGATACCGATAAGTGTGTGTGTGTGTGTGCAGACTCACCCAGGCTGCATGCTGCTCTGTAAGGTCTGCAGACGGGTCTTGATCAGGTCGAGAGGCTGGAAAAGCAGCGTGGAGCAGGTCCCACTGAAGGAGCCACACATGAAGGCTTTGATAGCTGGGTGAGCCTGAGGGGAGGAGAGGGGAGGAGAGGGGAGGGTTCGACAGACACAAGGAGAGAGGAGGTATGGAGTTAAAGAAGTGGGAGAAAGCGAGGGAGGACACGATGAAAGATAAACCGGGGGGCAGCTAATAATAATTTAATTTACAGCACTAGCATTGCTACTCCGTGAAGCCTCTTTGTTGAGCACCAAAATTATTTTCAAAACCAACTAATATGTATAATAATTACATGTATTTATTATTATTGTTAAGTAATTATTGTTTCCATAACCTTGGCTCCAAAGCTACTGATAAGCCACAAGGCATTTAATCACTTATAGTAGTTATGTAAGTAACATTAGTCATAGTATGATTAGCCCTAACCCTTGTTAGATTTCTCCAAATAAATGTTTTAATGCCCTAAGATGACATGAATTCACTCAATTATTGGTTCTTTGAGGGTGTTAACGCATTGTTTATTTCCCTATAAATAATATAATATATAATGTCAAGTCTAAAATGATTAATACAGCTTTGACACAAGTATATTTTTACAATTACGTTAGGTTAAACTAACCTTGTATTATTCTTCATTACTTTCACAGTGCGTATACACTGCTAGACACTTAAAAATGAACTCTGCCATATCCACCGTTGTTATATTATTCAGCTGTGATGTAACAACAGTTTCCCTCCATAAACCTGAATAATCCAGCCGCCTTTCACCTGCTCTCACTTTATCTGCAGCTCTCCTAACACCTGTGGACTCCCTGCATCTCCGGTCAGAAAGACAAGAGTAAAATGGGTCATGAGTGGGTCAGACAGGATGCCCCGACCTCGAGTTAGTTATTAAAAAGTAAGCCTCGTCACCTTTGACTAATATCAGATAAACATAAACATAAAGTGTACATTGTGGCTCCGGCTGGGAAACTCACCAGAGACAGTTCCATAGTTCTTAGTACTTTTTCCTCCTCTTGTAGCGTCTTCACTCTGCTGCCGTCCACTCTGAAATACCTAACACAAAGAGGGAAAAGGAGAAGTGGCCTTTGAGTAATGGGGTCAGTCACTTATGCAACACGGTCTACGGAGCATCTCTTACAGATGATGAGGGAGCATGTGCACAGTCCGGGTGTCTGTGTCAGGCTGCAGATGATTACACACACACACACACACACACAACCGACTAAGTATACAGATCACCTGACGAACACTGCGTTTCCCATTTGCGACCACCCAACACACAGCTATTCATTAACTAACTGAAGATCACTGCGCTACATATTAGGATGGATCTGCTGCGTGTCACTCTCCTGCATGCTTTTCACGTGTGTGTGATTGTGAACTAATGCAATCCGTGTGTGTGTGTGTCAGAAAGCACGATGCACTAAAGCAGTGCTTCTCAAATTTTTTGGGTTAATTTAAAAAAATATTTGTCATGCATTATTCCTAAAATGATTATACCATAAGTTCAATAAAAATGCAAACGTGAGTTTGACAAACCACGTTCTATATTCAAATAATTCTGTTTTCAATGCAATCGTTTACTGCCTCTGGAGCAGAGTTTGGTGCAGTAAAACCTCCCTGAGAAAGACAAAGATCCTCAGTGAAGCACAAGCCTAAAGTTTATCACTAAATCAAAAAGATGCAGTTCAATGCAACTTCAGTGCCTTCTTATTATGTGACGACAAAAACAGAAATAGTGATGGATTCTAAACTAAGTTTAAGTGTGTTTCCTAATAAATCAGACACTGATGGTGCAGCGCTGTATTGCACTGGTCAGAGGGGAACTTGGCTGAAATGTGAATTCAAAGGGAGCACATGAATGAAGTTTGCACTAGAGTTATCTGGGTAATGAATGATTCAGCACAAGGGGGTAAAAAAAAAGTCATTTTGTGAGCAGTGTCTTGGTTTGCTTTCTCTAAATGGATTGTGGGGTTAAAGTTTTGGTTATCATGTATTCAGACATGTATTCAGTTTCAACCATTAAAGGAAAAGAAAGCAGATATAGTCCATTATCTTACAACCTGAGGCTACTGTGTGATATCTACATGTGGAGCCAGAATTACCAGTTCATATGAAAAGGTTATCTGTTGCTTACCTTCTGCAGTACGCACAGATATCACAAGTCTGAAGTCATTGTTGAGCTTCTGGCATGAATCCTCTTCAAAAGCCTTCAGTAAAACACATAAAGGACGGTGACTAAAACTCAAACAGCCGTGTTTAACAGCCCTCCTGTGCCATTCAATAGGTGGCCTTACTATTTTGTCGCAGGCAAGTTTTCCATTTGCCGAAAAAATAACCCCAACGCCGTTAAATGTGAGCGTAAATCCTTCTGACCGAGTGTAACAACCGAGCACAGACACACCTGTAAGCTCACCTGTCTCTGAACCTCTGCGCTCTGTCGTATACTGTCAATGGCTGCAACATGAACACTGTCCCATTCACAACCGGCCGGTTCCTGTTAGACGACGCGGCGTGGTGTAACTGCGAGGAAGCCCCGCCCATGTAGGAGCTCCTGGCTTCTGATTGGTTAGCCAGCTGAGCGTGACGTGGGATATTAAACGAGCACCAATCAGGAGCCGAGAATCAGACCAGACCCCCTCGAAAAGTCCAGAGCCATTATGATATATATAAAAATATATATATTATTTATAAGAAGATATATTATATCTTATAGGATCTGAAAAAAAAACACATTTAGACAGAACAAATGTGTATTTAGTGAACTACATCCACAAAGTTTAAAGGGATTAAAAAAACGTTTTACTTTGAAACAAACAAAACCCTCATGTAAATATCCCGCAGTAAAATACTAAGTAAAAGTGTCATTAGCAATGTATTAAAAGTAACAATACTCATAATGTAGAATGACTAATTCCAGAGCCTTAAAGTCACATAATATTGCATTACTATTATTGATGCTTTAATGTGTATTGTTTGTTTTGATATTAATTTATAACTAGCAACTAGAGGTAGAGTAAAAATGTCTCTCACCTAGAACATAGAAATACTCAACTACCTCAAACCTGTTCGTACCTCCACCACTGACCACATTAAACAAGAACAGGACATTTCTATCCATATTTAAATCACAAGTGCAGTTTAGTACCAGAAAACTTAACGTAACAATAAACAGCTCATCATGTTGTCTTATAACAGAAACAAGCAAGAGGACAAAATAAAAGGTGTTCTCACCCAAATATCCTCATCCTTGTTTACTATTTTTGACTCTGGTGAAACCGGTTCTGACTTGCTTCAAAGAAAACCCTGACTGCCCTCTGCTGGACAAAATACATCACTTCATTAAAAACATCAACTTCAGCCTCAGATCGAGTTCTGAAAATCAACATCAGTATGAAATAATTACACAACATGTAGCAGTTTAGAAAGCCTCTTTAATTGCAATAATACCAACATTTCACAACATGATTTCCATTCCAGAGGTGCAGACAAACAAACATTACAGAAGAATTGTTGGAGATGCAGTTTTTTTTTTCTTCATTTTTTGGATTTACATTGGTTTTTTTTTTTTTTTTTTTTTTTAAGTGCGCTGTGAGCTGTTATTAAGTAACAACACATTCCTCTCACTTCCCAGCAGTGTGAGCCAAAAGCCACCCCTGAGCGCAGCCTGTGAGGGGTTAAACATCATCCTGACACAATGAGCTTGTTTTTCTATAGAACTGTTCATCTAATACATCTACTCAACACCTGGCTACATATTAAGTCCCCATGTGTACATGAAGCCCAATCAGCCCGAGTATAGCGTACAGGTTACAGCGATGAAGTACGTCCCTTCCTCCTGAATCTGCCTTTGGTTTGTAACAACCTCAGCTACTCCTCCCTCAGCAAGCTGTGCTCTGAGAATACAGTGTGTGCTGTGAGTAATAAGCTACCCCACCACCCCATTTAACCTTGAACATTAACAAAAACACTGATAGTGATAAATGTAAAAATCAATGCACGTCCAAAAAGCCAACCACCCCGCCCAGTAGGATTCAGCTGTATTTAAGGCTTTAGTGTGCGTCGGCAAGTTTGTGCACTAAACCAAAAGAGCACGGTTTGTTTTCCAAAACTTCCAAGCTTCTCCGTCAGCGTTTCAATGAAAACACACGAATGCAGTGGTTTACAATGTCAAGGCTTAAGTGTTTTTGTTTCATCTCAGTGCAAAATTAAGAAATTTCAGCACAGTCACAATCAAATGCCTTCAGTATGCGTCAATGAGTCTCCAATTGTGTTACTTGAAATCTGCCTCCAATTTAAACTTTCCACATGAAATGTGTGTAGATCAAATCATTAAGCTCAAAAGCATAGTCTCGAGTACTAACTGCAGCTAAATTGATAGAATACATTTGAGCATATAAACCTTCATTATAAACTGAGGCGAGAGCGCGAGCATAATAAACATGAAGCACTTCCATTCTTAACCATTATAAAAACTTCTGCATAAAATACAATTCTATAGATTGAGATATTACTTTGGTCCCCTTCCAGTAAATCTGTCTTCATTTATGTATACTTCTTTCTTTGTTTTCTCTTTCTTCAATTAGAAAAATAGATCCTAAATCAGGACTATTATAATTGGAATGTTTCCTTATAAAAATATTATTTTATTTTTCCCAGAGAATGAAAAATGAAGCAAAACAAAAGATTTGGCCCAAAAAAAATAATGTGTGTATTTGTCAGCATGGTGATTGTCCCACTTTACTGGCTTCTGTATGTGTGAAAGTGTGTTAAGAATGCATAGATTGTCAGTGTTGAACAGATCACTGTCGCACGACTAAACTCTAGTTTCAACAACATTCTCATGTTTGTGTTCCTCTCCGTTCAGTAGGTACAGTAATGTGTGCTCATATGTGAATTTGGGTCGGTCTATTTATGATGCAGTTTAAGGAGTCAAGTGGCACTGTGGCTGTTCATTCAGGCTTGGGCTCAGCGGGCTCGCTCTTTGGCTCGCTCTCCTCGTCGCTCTCGATGCCACCGCGGGGAACTGTGCGGCGCACGGTGAAGGGGAGGTCGCCGCGCCTAAAAACAGACAACAGAAAATTAAACAGTGACCGCAATGATTCCCAAATACATTTACACGCAGCAGGACTGGGCGATACCTCAACGACTGCTACAACTGTCTGTAGATACAAACTAAAGCTACTAGTTCTCTAAAGTCCCCTTTCCCACCTGAGCTTGTTCTTGAGGGTGGTGACTTCACGGTTCATGGCGTCCGCAGACTCCGTGGCGTCCTCCAGCTCCCTCTGCAGTTTCCTTCGGTTGGCGTTGGCTCGCTGAGCCTCTTCCTCAGCCTCCTCCAGCTGACGCTTCAGCTGCTTCATGCGAGAGTTCAACTTGTCGACCTATAATTCGACACAGATGTTGGTTAGATATACAACTCTCTCCTAGTTGTAGACTACAACGCTGATCTTCATAATACGTCTGATATATTGCTGAGGAGCTGCGTAATATTTCATCTGAAAGCATTTAAATCACCAACTTATTCTGGCCCCATAACAATTTCCCTTATATAGCAGACCAGTCACCAGGAATGTGGAAAGTACAGACGTAGATCTACACACACACACATTACACTGATAATACTCAGGAAAGCCAGAACAGAGAGACAGAATTGGCCAACGTAAAGCTCTGGGATTATGGAAAAACTCTGACCTGGTCCTTGTGCTGCTCTGTGTTGCGTCTCTCGTCATCCACCTGCAAGATGACTTCCTTCAGTTTCTTCTCTGTGCGTCTCACAAGCTTGGTGGCACCCTGCCTCTCCCTGAGTGAAGAGCACAACTGGTCAGACTCCGAACACAATGTCACGTACTGTCAAGCTACTAAAACCTGGTGGTGGTGGAAGTATTTAGTTTCCATTTAAGTTGTTTTGGCAAAATATCTAACAGGTCACACAATATTAGGCTTAATATGTTTTTAATTTAGTTATTTATTTTTCTAGTATTTGTTTATTTAGGATGTTTCCCAATGGACATTTAGGGCCATTGATGTTTTCATCTGCCGGACAATAGTAGTGTAATAGTAACTAAAGCTGTGAAAGTAAGGGTGGTGTAAAAAATAGATGTCGTGAAGCGGGCTATCACCTGGTCTCCATGTCCAGCTGTTCCTCCAGCTGAGCAATCTTTGCCTCCAGGGCGGCCATATTGGCCTTGTACTTGGACTTGACTGTTCCCTCCAGCTCCTGCAGCTTCAGTTTCAGCTCCTTGTTCTGACGCTCCAGTTGGGCCCGGGCTCCTTCCACGCGCTGAGAGCTGCTGCGCTCTGCTGTCAGCTCCACATTCATCTGGTCGTTCTAACAAAACAAAAGTTGGACAGGGACACTTCAATACAACTGGCTCACACCAAAAATGGAGAGGAATCAATGTTTGCTCTGGAGCCTCCAACCACTTGAACTTATATGGGCTAGCAACTCTGTCAACAGGCACATTAACTATAACCAGTTGCTCTGCACTCTTCTCCACAGACCTGCAGCATTGCTTTCTTCAGCCTGTCGTTGGTGAGCTCAGTGTTGCACTGCTCCTCCTCCAGCTCCTCCTCCAGCTGAGCAATGCGAGCCTCCAGCCGTCTCCTCTCCTCTACAACTTGAGCGCTGAGAGATGAAGAAAAGGTGGGAGGTAGATGCACACAATAAGTCAATAACAGGTGATACACACAACTGACAATTGTGCTATTTTACTGCAGATTGATAGCTTCCTTACTTCTTGCTGGCCTGGTTGTTAATCTCATCCTGCAGTTCATCTCTCTCCTGCTGGGCCTGTCTCTTTACTCGCTCTGCAGCTGCCAACTCCTGCACAGAGGATGAATGAGCAGACAGCAATGAGTTTAAGTGTGAAACAGGGGCAAGGAAAAAGAATAGAGAGTGAAACAGATAAGCGTGCGGACCTCCTGCATCTGGAGCATGTCAGCCTCCATGCCCTTCAGCTTCTTCTCTGTCTCCTTGCTCTGAGCGAGGATCTCCTCTCTGGACATACGAGTATCCTCCAGCTCCCGGATGAGATCCTTCATCTGGGCCTGCAAGAACATTCACACACGGTTAGTATTCAAACACATCATTGAGTTGATGTGGATGCTTTTATTGTGTTGAAGATAATCCAACAGCTGACTTACTTGGAGTTTCTTCAGCTGTTTCAGGGCCTCGTCACGGTTCTTGTTGGCCATGTCGATGCCCGCCTCCAGCTCCTTCAGGTCCAACTCCAGCTTCTTACGACCGGCCACGGCAGCAGAGCGCTGTTTCCTCTCATCCTCCAGCTCCATCTCCATCTCGCGCACCTGAAGGAGGAAACATTTGAGTTCAGCAATATTTAAAAAGCATCACTTTACTTCTAAGTTATCTCTGAATATTCTGTCTGATTTTCAAATGATTGTCAAGGTGGACAAACAAGTAACAAAACAGTTATCATATACTTTTAGATTTAGTTCAGACTATATCCTGTTAGTACCTGTTTGATCAGTGACCTCTTCTTCTCCTCGCCCATCTCGTCACGTCCTGCCAGGTCTCTCTCGTACTGGGCCTTCATGGCCTGCATGTTGACCTCCAGACGCAGCTTGGCATCCTCTGTGGCCTGCAGCTCATCCTCCAGCTCCTCCCAGTTGAGTGGTTTTCTTC